TATTTAATTAATTTCTTTTCTTTTTTTTATATGTCAAAACGTTATGTCAAAACGATTCGGAATGTGGCAGTTTTTTTGTTCCTACCTATTTTATAGTCGGGCCAAAAAAAATGAATTCAACAATTTTTTTCATTTGATAAGTACTATCCCCGCGAATAAAAATTTATTGCAGCTACTCTGGAAAAAGGCTGAGGATACCCCAGCAAAAAGTATAACGAATCAACATATCCATGTCATTCGAAAGTTCGATGGGAAAACTTATTAAAATTTTAATTTTGAATTTGATTTTAATATCAATATGACTGACCATACAACTGTTTCAAGTGTTGCTAAATTCCTATCATCAGTGGTCTTAGAATTATTTCTTATATTTAATTAAATTTACAATTAATTTAATTTAATTATTTATATCTTATATTAAATAATTTTTTGAGACTAGTACCCAAGGAGACTCGTACCCAAGGTAATTGACTTATAAATTCGAACTTGAAGTTTGTTAGTAAATTTGCTGTGAAAGTTCATTAACAAATTCACTTGTTGTGTTTATATTAGAACGAAATCTTAAACCAGGTGTAGAATAATTGAATTAATTATTTATATTTAATTTTTTTTTTGTTTTTAATTGTTAAATTTCAATACTGTTCTTTTGTAGAGGCATTATTTGTTGCATGATTTTATTACTTTCCTATGAATAGTCGTAGCACCTAACCTAAGAACGTAATACGGAGAAAGGCATGCTAATGTTACTCTTGAAATTGAAAACACTTTTTTATTCATAACATCTCCATTATTATTATATACTAAATTTGATTTTAAAATCAATATTTTAAGTTTAATTAAAAAAAACTTCGAAGAATATGTCGCAAAATTTTAATATTTTGTTTCTGAATCAAATTAATCAATAAATTTTATTTTGAGTTTGTACTTTTCAGTATGATGTCTGTTTTAGAATGCTATGCACAGTTACACAGTACGTATACGCACTAAATTTTAATTACCTTAAGTTGAAAAAAATATATCACCAAAAATATTAATTTTTAATTTCTAATTCTAGTTGTTTAAAATTAATTAATTACTAAATTATACTTAAAAAATACTTTTAACAGAATATTATAATTTTAGAAGTTCGGGATTTCGAGCATTCCCGATGCAAGGCAGACTTGTCAACAAACGCTACTAAAATCCATTGCGCATCATTCTGTACTGTTTTGGAATATAAATAATAACAATACTCGACGTATAGTGGTATTTTAACATAAGACTTGCTTTTTCGAGGTATGCTGTATAGGTTATGGTTGACATCAAAAGTTATACAGGAAGAGTGTTACCTCACTCAATGTGAAATTGCACCCCGAGTCGGGTGTTAGGACCCATAGAACAAAAAGAATTTTTTTTTGGACATCGCTTCTAAAGAAATGCCAGTTATGTTAATATGCGTAATGTGGCGTTAATCGGTGTATTATTCTGATTTGATTGTTAAGAACACTCTGGTATTAAGCCATCACGACAGCTTAAAACCTGTATTCAAGTATTATAGATAAAATAGGTTTACTTACTGATTAGCGGCTGTCATACATCAATATTTGCTTTAACACAGTAAGCTGATTTCCTTGATTGAAATAGGTTTTTATAAAATTTTTCACTCAGATTTGTTAAATATTATAATTGAAATATTCAATAACTTTTAAGGCGGTGAAAAAACTGCTAAAATCAATATCGAGTAAATTTTAATCTGTTAAGATTAAATCTTAAAAAGCAATTAACCGTATTCACGGCGTATTGCCATATCTAATACATTATGTGTGCTGTAATGAATCGTATAATTGTCTCTAATGAATTACCAACATATGTGTATCCCTTTATTCATATAAAAAATAAAATGGTAAAGATTGGAGCTTAAAGTCCAACGCATTCTTTTATCTACACTCTTGCATTGTTTGACCATACTAGAAGTGTCTACAATGGTATCTCGTAATTCATAATTCAGTGGCTATCCAGTCTGTAGGTTCCACCAAGCGTGAAAGTTAAAAATGCTTTCAATGCAATTAGATGGTATCCTAATGACACATTCAATGTTATGCTTTACTTAAAATATTACTTGTAATTCAAGTAGGATATTAACTGTGCATTTAGCTTTAAGCATTTGGTTCCAACTGCATCAGTAATCGTAATAGTAAACCACTTTAAGTTAGTATTTACTATTTTATGTCTAGTTCGCTGAGGTACTGAAGGTTAAGAAATTTAAAGTATGTCATTTAATGACACTGGAAAGCAGTACATTTATTTTAATCTTCGTGTAGTAATAAATGAGATAACTTACCAACAATCTTATAATAGAAGTTTTAGGGGAAGAAATTGATTGCGAAGCAAGAAGAGATTATACTAATAAATTAATAATGGATAACCAACACAATAACTATATTTTACAAAACTCTCACAAAAAGACGCTTGGAATAAATAGTTGATTACAATGCGGAAATAACAATAATTTATAGTAATTGGTCAAAAAAATATATAATTTACACCACATTACGATTCGCAATAACTACTAGTTTTGCAAGTTTGTTTATCTCAGTATGTCAATACAAATTAGTTGGGATTCTAAGAACCTACGCTCTTATCATGATAATAATTTTATAAATATTGGTGAAAATAGTTATTGCAATGGCCTTTTTTTTGTGATGAGGAGGTGGACTGCTTTATGCACCGTCAAACCGACCCACAGTGTAACGTGTTCATATAACAAGCGGACAAAAATAGTAAATGTTATGCTATTTTCATGAAATTTTGCATAAAGACTTATATTAAGGATAATAAAAAGTTTCTGAAAAATGGGCATGGTCCGCCTATTTTTACGCCCACCTGCCATACAAAGTGAATGATCAAAATGCGCAAATTGGATACAATTTCAATGAAATTTTGCAGGAATATGTGTTTTTATAATATGACAATATTTCTGAAAAATGGGCGGGATCCGCCCATTCTTACGCCCACATGTCATACAAAGTGAATGATCAAAATGCACAAATTGGATTCAATTTCAATGAAATTTTAGACAAATAAATGTTTTTAAAATGTTAACATATTTCTAAAAAATGGGCGTGGTCCCATTTTTAGTTTTACTGAAATTTAATGCAAAAATAATATTTATAAAAAAGTATCTGAAAAATTAGCATAAAATTCCTTCTTCTAAACCAACTACTTACAAATATAAAGCGTATAAAAAAGAGTTGTTTCAAATAATATATTACTTATAACAAGTTTCATGAGTTTTCATAATATATACATATATCATATACTCGTATTTCAATTACTTTATTCGCTTTCATCAGAGGTGTCACTGAATGTAATATTTTCTATATCAAATTCGGAACCGGAGCAATCTACGCTCTCTTCAATCAAATATTCCGCCATGTCATCATAGGCATGTGATTTCCTTCGCATTTGTTTCCTTTGCGAAGATATATATGGTTCCGAAGCTAATAATAAATGATTTAAAAGATCTTTATTCGATGAAACTCTTGATGATTTTCTAGTGTGGTTTAATCGGTGTTTTCGAAATTCTTTATGACTTGCTTCTATTGCATCTTCGGATAGAAGGCCAATTGGTATATTGAAATGTTGTATAACTTCACATCCATGAATCAGTATTTTATGTAAAGTTGCTGGCATATTGTACCATGAGTAATGTACTATATAAATTTCCTGAGTTTTTTGTAGAAGATCTTTAAATGTTAACAAATTTATGGTTTTACCACTTGATAAAATGCAATCAGGATGCATAGCATTTATCACCGACCGCAAAATATTATATTTTCTTACCGATAAATCTAAATCAAAACACAAAGCGATAGCTTTATTTATCGATAAGCGTTTAATTTCATCTGTATAATTTAAACGTTTTGCAGCATGTGTAATTTCTTCTGGTGACTTCAATGATATAAGTTTTTCAACTTTACGTCTTTTTGTTCTATCACAGCTTTCAACATACGATTTTACAGGACGGCCCTTATTATTATATGCGTTATTACTTATTTCATTTTCACTTCTTAGAGGCTCCAAGGCAGCAGTTGTTGGTTCCTAATTTTGTGATATTACTTCAAGTTTCAGCAACAAGAAATAAAAATGTACTTACGTCTAAACATTTGCAGTCATCGTACCTAAACTCAAAATCAAGCCAGGCGGAATTCTTATTAATAAATTTAGTTCTCATCCTCGAACTATGTAACCACTTTCTTTTTAATTGTATTTCAAGAAAATTGATTTTCTTTTTGAGTTTTTGACTATTTAATTGAAAACCAAATCTTTTCAAAACAAATTCCATCATAATATTTATTTTTTCAACACGATTTTTTTCTGTTTCTGTAAGCCATAACTCAAAAAGTTCTTTAATTTTAATAATTGGTGCCACTGAAAAAATCACATTTCATTAAAAGTTGCAGCTAGATGCAAATAATTTTTAGATATTCTTTAAGTACATACTTGAATAAGTAATTTGTCAAAAAATTAGAAATATAAATTGATATAATTTTGAGAAAAAGACTTTTAAAGTTTAACTTTTATGAACTGATCACGCGCGCGAATTTACTTTTTTAGAATAACGGTAAAATGAAAATAGGAATCAAAACAAAATAAATCAAAGTGTTAACGGACTTACTAAATTATATATTTTACTCATATATGCATTTTATGCAGAGTTGTACCTAAAAAAAACTAATATATGGCTTGAAAGTGCATTGCTATAAACTTAGGTTTTTTCAAAAAAAAAATTAAGATCTAATTAGAGTGACTTTGATGAGAAGATGTGGTCCCATGCATAGAAATTTTTGAAAAATATTTCAGATTTT